GAAGTGGAACAAGTCCCATCGATGAGGATAATCCTCAGGAACATAATACAGAGTGAACAATGCAGAAAAATACATATTGCATGGTACCATTTATAAAAAATTAGAAAATATAAAACTTACTTCAATAAATTCCCTATGCATTTATGCATAAGTAGGAACAGAAAATATGAATGAGGCCAGGTGGAGTGGCTCACACCTGAAATCCCAGCATTGTGGGAGGCCAAAGCAGGCAGATCACGGGGTCAGGAGATTGAGATCATTCTAGCCAACATGGTGAAACCTCGTCTCTAATAAAAATACAAAAGGTAGCTGGGCATTGTGGCAGGTGCCTATAATGCCAGCTACTCGGGAGGCTGAGGCAGAAGAATTGCTTGAATCTGGGAGGCAGAGGTTTCAGTGAGCCAAGATGGCGCCACTGCATTCCAGCCAGGTGACAGAGCAAGACTCCATCTCAAACAAAACAAAACAAAACAAAACAAAAATGAATAAGCATAAAATTCAGAATAGTGGTTACCTGGAGGGAGGGAAAGAAGGTGCGTAGGGGTTCCATGTCTACTTGTAATGTTTGATTTTTTAAATCTGAAGCAAATGTGGAAAAATATTAAGATCTGTTATGCTTGGTGGTGGACACAGGGCATTTATTTGAGATATGATTCTACAGGCATTTCTGCATGCTGAAATATTTCAAGATAAACAAAGGGAAGAAGTCGACTCTCTGAGGGCTCAGGCTTAGAGGGACTTGTATAAGGGATTAATAAATAGTTTCATTGTCTCCTGAAGAGAAACTGCAAACTATTCCACTCCCCAAGGAGAATATTTATTCTTTAGGAGTAATTTATTCTTTGGAGCTTTGCATATACTTTAACTATTTCCATAAAGGATTTGAAGTATTTTGCAACAAGACACACATAATGAACCATGAAAACATAAACATAAGTAGAAAATCAGCATCAAATATAATAAACATTCCATCAATACTGGTTAACACAGATGCTGTGATGAAATTTTAAACTTGGCTCTGAAGTTCTTGGCAACAGTAACTACCCCATCTCCAACTGACCCAAAAAAGCAGGTTACAAAAACTAACCTTTGTTCTTCAAGATTTAAATAAAATATTTTCCTGAGTAGTCTCTCTTTATTCGACTTTGCATTTTGTCTTGCTGCTAACTAACCAGATTCTCTCTTCCCTCTTTCTCTTTTCTTTCCTTTTAAAATTGATTAAACAAACTGTGAGACGGGAGAATAAAGCCCAGGTTTGCCCAAAGAGATGAACAGGATTTGTTTTGGTCTGTCAACAAAACGTTAATCATAGAAAATCATGAAATCAAAACAAGAGAAAATATAGGTGAATCGTTAACTGCTTTCTGAATAAGCGTAATTACAATGAATGACATCACAGAGAAAAACAATACGAGACATGACCACACAGAAGGAAAAACATAGATAAAAATCAAAATAAAAAGGCAAGTACACTATGATAATCTTATTTAACGAGTGATAGGTTTATTCTCTTAAATATAAAAGATAGCATAAACAAGTACTGCTCTATGCCAGTGACTCCCAATTCTGTAACTCTAGTTCAAGCTACACTTCTCAACTCCCAACTCTTATATTCACACCTACTTAACACCTGCACTTGGATACTTCACAACCATCTCAGCATATGTTGAGATGCGCGGTATAGCCTGTATATATTGGATATGTTGAGATACACTGTGTATTCCATAAGACGGAATTCCTGATCCTTCCAACAGATGCTCCATTCACAGATTGCTCTCATCTCAGTTGATGGGAACTCCACAAGCCAAAAACCTTGGGGCCGTCATTGACTACTGTTTCTATATTTCATATCCAATTGTCAGTAAATCTTGTTGGCTTTATCTTTAAAATATACCAAAGATCCAACCACTTTCTGACACCTCTGTCGCTAATCACCTTGATCCAAGCCACAATTCTCTCTCGCCTAGAATAGTGCAGCACCTAATTGATTGCCCCTCCTGAAGCTGATTCTCTACACATTATTGGAATGAATCTAGCCACCAATATTTTATATTTTAATATGTATATCCTTAAATAATACCTAATACTGTACATGTGTACTTATGTATTACATGTAAAATGTGTAACATTTTACGTTAGTATTTATACGGCACATAATGGTCTGCAATATGCTTTACATGTAGATAAAGTTGAGGAATTCTCATCTTTTATTTGCTAGTCCTCAGTATAATGACAAACATGAAAGTGGATCAGGAACGACCATGGGCACGGAAATTCTTCCCAGATGCCAGACCCTTAAGACTAACAGTGAATGTGGGTCCAGTTTACTATTTATTGGCTGAAATACCTTAGGTGAGTTTTTTAAATCCTTTCTATGCCTCAGTTTTCTAGTGTTCAAATGGGATTGTTATTTTATATATATATATATATATATATATTATAATTTATATATATATATTATAATATTATATATATATATAGCAGTGTTAGGAGATTAAATGAGAATGCATATGAAGAGTTTATAGTAGTGCAAGACATTGCTCAGTGAATCTTTGTTGTTATGATGATTACTCATTGAAGAGAATATGAATCCCAGTGCATTCCCTGCCTGATAAGGAAGAGATCAGGAGCATGGTAGGGCTGTACTTACTATCTTACGTGCCGGGTCTTCAGTAGAATGAAGCTCAGGAAGTGAGGAGCTGATACCAGAACCATCCTCCGACTCAGCAGTATAGTTAAGCAGCCTCAGGTCACCCTGCACACTTGGTAATCATCCCCAGGTCTACCAGCACACTTCACCATCCAGCTGCTGTACCAGAACATGGGGTACAGTATCCCCCTAAATCGAGGTATTGAATGTTTCTACTTTTGAGGCAAATGCAAAACATTGTTTCTGTGTGAGATCCCTTTTGGAAAAAAGCAATTCTTCAGCACACACTAGCCCCGAGAGTCTCAGACTGTGGGATTTGCAGCTTTTCCCCTTCCCTGAAAACCCTGGAAAATTCCAAGTAGAAAGGGCAATTTATTCCCTAGATCACCACTCACTCACAACATAGGACCCTCACTGATCCCGGACCCAGCAGACCCAGGTCTCCTTGTCTTTTTATCTGGGGATTATCTTCACCGAGGAACTTCAGAAAGCAAAATGAGTTTGGAGGGTAAAGCTAGATGGGAGGACACAGCCACTGGAAGTTTGAGACCAGACAAAATAAGGATTCAAGAAGTAGAAATCGGCATGGGATAGTGGGAGCAGACAAAGGAACTCTGGTAGGAAGGAAGGAGAGACCAAAGCTGAGGAATAAAGAGGCTTGGTTTCAGGAACAAGAGCGAGATTTTATTTCCAGGCCTGAAGCAGAAGGTCTGGGTAGAGCTAGCAGTGACCAGAATGGCTTGCTGCCATTTCATTGAGTGCTTAGTGTTCCTAAAATTCCCAGGATGACTGGGCTGAGAAAGCATGTGAGTGTCAAGTCTCTTCAGCAGTAGGGATGGGAGGGTTAGGGAAGGAGAGACATGCAGGAAACTGGACAGATTTTTAAACAGCCAGGACATTCATCCTCAAAGCCTAGAGTAGGAACAGTCACTCAGACTCCCGAGGAGTTACAGGTTCTACATCTTTCCAATCTGCTAGAAATCCACACAAAATATACTCTTGCTTCTCCTCTTACCATCACCTCCAAGCTGGGATCTCATCTCTACGCCAAACAATGTATAAGCCCCAGGAGAGAGCACTGTTTACTAGCCAGATGAGAAATGATCCATGTTTCAGTTGGAGAGGCTGAAGGATCAGAAAGCAACGCTAACAGCTCCTCCGTCCTAGGGCACCAACGCTATCATTCAACCTACACCCCAAAGAGTATGAATTAAAGCTCAATATAGTGGGTGTTTGCTGCGTGCCAGGCATGAGGAGAAATGCTTTACATGCATTATTTCATTTGATCCTCATGGCTGTCTTATGAAGTGTGTGCTATGAGGAGGAAACTGAGGTTATATGCTGGGAACCTGATGGCCTGAGTGCCAAGATGCCACACCAGGACAGTGCTTAAAAGGCTGTGATCAGAAGAATGCTAACCTATTAAAGTTAAGCACTCCTTCTGGGAGAAGAGTAATGAAGAGCTCTTAAGGATGTGGGTCTTTCTCAGAACCACTACCCTCCTCACCAGCATGAAGTTGTTCTTCAAATGAAATTTTAAAAATCAGAAACTTTCACCCATGCAACCCTAATACTTCTGAGGCACAGGTATACATGCATGTCTATAAAAGGAGCCCCCGAGAGCTAACAATGGAAGAAAACACCTTTCAGAGATTCAGACTTACTGATTTGTAACAGCATTTTATAGTCACTCCAGGTCTCTTAAGACAAACCATTTTCTTCCTATCTCAGTTTTGACTCATTTTCATATTCTCCGCCCATAGTGACTCCTGGGACCTCCTGTGGTTCCCTGAGAATGCATCCCTAGAAGAATGTGGCATCCTCCATATAGGTGAATAGCAGGGACCCTGCCTAAACAAAGAGGAACATACAATAAATATGACAGTTCTGACTGGATTAATGAGGCAAACATACTTTATTTTTACTAATTTATTAGTAAGTTTATTCTTCACTCATAAAAAGAACATATTTTTGGCTTTGAAATCATGATGTAAAATAAAAAGGGAAATAACTGAAAATTATCTGCTGAAAGTAGGCAGATGCAACTCATGCTGAATCGTCAGCAAATGCTACATGCTTTGGGCTATAGCAGGGCACCAATCAAAGCCAGAACCAAGGATGCAGTGCCATCCCATCTCTGAACACTGCCTAGTTCCCAAAGGCTGTTTGGTCATCACACACAGGAAATCATTCTTTCCTTTCTCCTGCTTTCCTTCTTAACTTTTAGCTATGAGAACGGTGGGCAATAATGCTTTAATGCTAGTCTTTCTACTTTATAGGATAGCGTTGCTGTTGTTTTAACATGTATAACCTGCATATTTTCACCCTCCAAAAAATAAAACTGCCAAAATCAACGGTAACTAAAGGCCATTTTTATTTTTGGTCTGTTATCTGCTGTAGGCAGAGCTTCATGTAGGAATTTTTATTGCGAATTTCTATGACGGCATCCCTAACAAGCTCAATGAACATCTGTGGCCAAAGCTTCTGCAAAGCCTCATTTTTCATGTTGATTTCTGTGGCTTCCTTCACAAGGTCTTCTATATACATTTTGCAGAATTTCTTCTTTTCTTTTATTTCCTGTTAAGAAAAGAAATTTTACATTAAATCATAACTAATCCAAAACTCAAAGCAACAATCAGCTGAACCAGAAAAACCTGAAAATTTATTCTGACCCCCTTGTCCGCCCCCACCCACTCCTCAGAGCAGGAATTCTTTCCTAGCCCCTGACAGACAGTTCTGCTTGAGTAACGATAACAACAAGGACCTCAGTACTTCTCAGTCTACTCCTACCTCTATCAGATAACTCTGCTAGAAAATGCATTTCTTTACTGGAATTGTCGAATCATAACTACCACTCATCTCCTATCTCAGTTCAGGTCATTTAGCTCACACAAGTCAGCTGAATGCAGACTCACAGATTCCTGCGGTAAATGTGTCAGGATATGGATAGTGACCATTTCAATTGGTATGAGATTACTTAATATCTACGTAATGCTTTCAGTATCTATACTCTGAATTTACTCTGTTATGGGAAAGTGTAAAATGGTACACTATACTAACTTATGCAGCCTTGACCATTTGGAGAAAGTTGGGGAAAAGTGTATGAGGAGGCAGAGGAAACATATAAACCTGGGACCCAGGACATTGTCTTCTAAAGAAACAGGTCTCCGACTCAACTTCTGGGTCTGGCAGTTTACAAATAAAAAATCTGGTTCTAAACATAACAGAGGAATTTTGGAGCCAGAGGATATTTGAGCATTGGGTCCCAATTTTATCACAGAGGCTAAAACAAAGTGATTTTGTTTAATGCAAGAATTTAACGTTTATTTTGGCTATTGATACTTTTGGAGAGTATCAAGGCATGATCATGGAAGGTATAATATGGAAGAATCAATGTAAAACATCAGATAATCAGAATTATAAGGGAAGTAAAGCACTTCAATGAAGAGGGAAAGTAATAAAGGTCAATGAGACAATAGATTTAACTACTTGGAAAATGATCCATTTAAACCTCCAACTCAAAACAATACACCAAAATAATTTCAAGATAAATTAAAAGAGTTAAATTTAACATATCATAGTCCAGGCATGGCAGCTTACATCTGTAATCCCAGCACTTTGGAAGGCCAAGGCAGGAGGATAGCTTAAGGCCAAGAACTCAAGCCTGGGCAGCATAGTGAGACTCCATCTCTACAGAAAAATAAGAATAAAAAATTTAGCCAGGTGTAGCAGCACATGTCTGTAGTCCCAGGTATTGGGAGGCTGAGGTAGCAAAATTATTTGAGCCCAGGAATTCAAGGCTACAGTTCAAGCTATGATCATGCCAATGCACTTCAGCCTGAGTAACAGAGTAAGATCATGTTTCTAAATAAAAGAAAAGAAAAATAATTCAGCCAGGCACAGTGGCTTACGCCTGGAATCCCAGCACTTTGGGAGGCTGAGGCAGGTGGATCACTTGAGGTCAGGAGTTCAAGACCAGTCTGGCCAACATGGTGAAACCTCGTCTCTACTAAAAATACAAAAATGAGCTGGTGTGATGGCACACACCTGTAATCCCAGGTACTCCAGAGGCTGATGCAAGAAAATCACTTGAACCCAGGAGGCAGAGGTTGCAGTGAGCTGAGATAGTGCCACTGCACTCCAGCCTGGGTGACAGAGTGAAACTCCGTCTCAAAAAAACAATTAAAATTAAAATTAAAAAATTAAAAATCACAGCTATTGTCATTAAAATTATACCTAAGAAGATTTCTAGGAAGTCCTAGCCAGAGCAGCCAGGCAAGAGAAAGAAATTAAAAAGCATTCAAATAGGAAAAGAAGTCAAACTATCTCTCTTTGCTGACAATAAGATTCTATACATAGAAAATTCTAAAGACTCTGCTAAAAGGCTTTCAGATTGAAACAATTTTAGTAAAGTTTCAGGATACAAAATCAATATACAAAATTCAGTAGTAGCATTTCTATACACAATATCCAAGGCTGAGAGTGAAATCAAGAACACAGTCTCACAATAGCCACAAATAAAATGAAATACCTAAGAATACAGCTAACCAATAAGATGAATCATCTCTACAAGGAGAACTACAAAATATTGCTGAAAGAAATCAGAGATGACACAAATAAATGGACAAACATTTCCTGCTGATGGATTGGAGAATCAATGTCATAATAATGGCCATATTGCCCAAAGTAATTTACAGTTCAATGCTATTCATATCAAACTCCCAATGTCGTTTTTCACAGAATTAGAAAAAAGAAATCTAAAATTCATATAGAACCAAGAAAGAACCCGAACAGCCAAAGCAATCTTAAGCAAAAAGAGCAAAGCCAGAGGTATGACGCTACCTGACTTCAAACTATACCATTAAGCCACAGTAACCAAAACAGCTTGGTACTGGTAAAAAACAGACCCATAGACCAATGGAACAGAATAGAAAACTCAGAAATCAAGCTGCATGCCTAAAACCACCTGATCTTCAACAAGGCTGACAAAAACAAGCAATGGAGAAAGGACTCCCTATTCCATAAATGGTGCTGGGGTAACTGCCTAGCCAAATGCAGAAGACTGAAGCTAGACCTTTCCTATCTTTCCCCATATGCAAAAATTAACTCAAAAGGGATTACAAATTTAAATGTAAGATCTCAAACTACAAAAATCCTGGAAGACAACCTAGGAAATACTCTTCTCGATAACAGCCTTGGCAAAGAATTTTTGACTAAGTCCCTAAAAGCAACTGCGACCAAACCAAAAATAGACAAGTAAGACTTAATTAAACTAAAGAGCTTTTGCACAGCAAAAGAAACTATCAACAGAGCAAACAGACAACCTACAAAATGGGAGAAGATATTTGCAAACTATGTATCTGACAAAGGCTTAATATCCAGAATCTATAGGGAACTTAAATCATCAAGCGAAAACCAAATAATCCCGTTAAAACATGGGCAAAGGACGTGAACAGATACTTCTCAAAGGAAGACATACAAGAGGCCAACTAAGATACGAAAAAGTGCTCAGCATCACTAATCATCAGAGAAATGCAAATCAGAACCACGGTGAGATGCCATCTCTCACCTGTCAGAATTACTATTACTAAAAAGTAAAAAAACAACAGATGCTGGCGAGGCTGTGGAGAAAAAGGAACTCTCATACACTGCTGGTGGGAGTGCAGTTAAATTAGTCCAGCCACTGTGGAAGCAGTCTGGCGATTTCTCAAATAAAACAGAGCCACCCTTCACCCCAACAATCCCATTACTGGGTATATACCCCAAAGAAAATAAAGCATTCCACCAAAACGACACAAGCACTTGTATGTTCCTTGCTGCAGTATTCACAATAGCAGACATGGAATCAACCCAGGTGCCCATCAATGGCAGATTGGATAAAGAAAATGTAACATATAAATAATATGGAATACTAACTACATAGCCATAATGAAGAATGAAATCCTGTCCATTGCAGCAACATAGATGGAACTGGAGGCCATAATCTTAAGCAAATCAATGCAGAAACAGAAAACCAAATGCTGCACATTCTCACTTATAATTGGGAGCTCAGCACTGAGTACACATGGAAGATGGCAACAACATAGATATGGGAACAACATAGAGGATGGTGGGGGTGTGGGTTAAACAATTATCTATCTGGTACTATGCTCATTACCAGGGTGACAAGATCCATACTCCAAACCCTGGCATCACATAATATCATGTAACAGATCTTCACTGTACCCTATATCTAAAAGTTGAAATTTTTAAAAATAAAATAAAAATAAGAAAGATGTATACTAAGAAAAATGCTTACATCATAATGTTAAGAAAATAATTTTTGATAGAGTTTGGGTTATATGAATGTATGATTTGTCAAAACTCAGCGACTATATACCTAAGATTTACATTTTGGTATGTAAGTTTTACCTCCAAAGGGTAAAATTTACAAAGAAAAAACTCTATAGAATACTGAATTCCAATTAATTAAATGCATGCTGAATTACTTAGGGAGAAGCATACTAATGTCCGCAATGATTGTGAAATTAATTAAAAAAATCCCAAGGTAGACCGATGGATGGATAGATACACAGATATGTGATAAAGTAAGTACACTGTATAGTACAATGCTAACAGTAGAGTGTAGGTTTGGTATGTATGGATGTTTATTGTAATATCCTTTCAACTTTGCTGTATGTTTAAAACTTTTATTAAAAAGTTAGAAAATAATGCATAAAAACTATTGAAGAAAATATGTCAAAGTCTCATTGCTTCTGGGTTCTGAGACATTAGTATGTTTTCCTCCTTTTTTCTATTTTTCCAAATGCTTATGATTTTAAAATTTATTTTATTTTCTTTTAACTCGGCTTCCTGAGTAGTTGTGACCACAGGCATGTACCACCACAGCCAGCTAATTATTGTATTTTTTGGTAGAGATGTGGCTTTGCCATGTTGCCTAGGTTGATCTCAAACTCCTGAACCTCAGACTCCTGAAGAGCTGGGATTACAGGCATGAGCCACCATGCCTGGCCTAAATGCTTATGATTTTTGTAACAAAATATGTTTTAAATTCCTGATTAATTAATGTAAGTTAATAATAAGTCCAAATTACACTAACTTTCCTTAAGAGAGGCAAATTTTAAGAATTTTTCTTATGACATATAAGGTATCTCTAAGTAATCACTCACCATTCACGGGTCAACATGCTGATCGGATATAGTTCGTGTACTAAAACAACAGGTCATAGGTTAACCAACCATAAAAGTATGTACAGATTTTGATGTGTGATAAGCAACAAATGGTTCTAGCTGGGCTCTTCTCTGATGAACTTCTCTCACTCTGAAATACTAGAGTCTGAGACTTAGCCATCTACACTAAGTTAGCTTATTGATGAGAACAGAATGTAGCTGCTCCCTTTTAGCACTCAGAAGATCTGATCTACATAGGAACTCCTACGAAGGACAGGTATGAATCACTAGAGATCAGCAACTAATATGAGCAATATTTTACAAGCAATGCATTTATAAGTAGAAAGCATAGAGCATATTTAGTGAATGGTTCTTTTACAGATTTCTAAATTGCTTAAAATAGGATTT